AAATAAAAACAAAAACACCCCAAAGGACAAGGTTTGGAGAGCTTCTGGCTAGCTGAACATGTGGAGGTTTCTTGAAGGGTGGTGTGCCCAGGGAGGGCATGGAAACTCCATACCTTTTTCCAACCTTGCCCTATACATCCCTTCATCTGTATCCTTTGTAATATCTTTTATAATAAACCAATAAACACAAGTAATGTTTTCCTGAGTTCTGTGAGCCTCTCTAACAAATTAATCAACTCCAAAGTGGGGCTTGGAGAAGGGATTAAGATGGTCAACAAGAGTCACTTAGTGTTTCGCCTATGGAATAAACCAAGTTAAGAGTTTTCTCAGCACCCAGAGAGGAATAGGACCAGCAGCATGATGAAGTCTTTCTCAGAAAAGCAAATTATGAGGGAATTTATCATCACTAGACCACCTCTAGAAGAAATACTCAAGGAGTTCTAATACTGAAATAAAAGGTCGAAATATACCAATTAAAAAAACACTGGAAATCACTGGATGTGGTGGCTCATGCTGGTAATCCCAGCACTTTGGGAGGCAGAGGCGAGAGGATTGCATGAGTCCAGGAATTCGAGAACAGCCTGGGCAACTTGGCAAGATCTCATCTCTACTATAAATCAAAAAATTAGCCGGGTGTGGTAGTGCGCACCTATAGTTCCGGCTACTTGGAAGGCAGAGGTGAAAGGATCACTTGAGCCCAGCAGGTTGAGGCTGCAGTGGCCGTGAGTGTGTCATTGTACTCCAGCATGAGCAACAGAGTGAGACTCCTACTCAAAAAAAAAAAGTAAAAACTAAATAAATAAAGCAATCAGATAAAAACCAACATGATAAATGGAATAGTACCTTACATATCACTATTAACCCTGAATACAATGGTTTCAATGCTCCACTAAAAAGATATAGACTGGCAGAATAGATTAAAAAAATACAATCCAAATATCTACTGCCTGTAAGAGGCCCACTTAACACAAAAAAGCTCCTATAGACTCAAAGAGGTGAAAAAAAAATATGCCATGCAAATATAAACCAAAAATGAGCAGGAGTAGCCATTCTCATATCAGATGAAACAGACTTTATATTAACAATAGTAAAAATAGACAAAGATGGCTTTTATATAATGGTAAAGGGATGAATTCAATGAAAAGACATAATTTAAAATATATGTGCCCCCAACACCAGAGTCCTGGTTTTATAAAACAAATTCTACTAGACCTAAAAAAAGAAATAGACAGCAATATAACAACAATGGGTGACTTCAACACTCCACTGACAGCAACAGATAGATCATCAAGGCTGAAAGTAAACAAAAAAACATTGAAATTAAACTGGACTCTAGAGCAAATGGAACGAACAGACATCCACAGAACATTCCACCCCAAAACTACAGAATATACATTCCTCTTATCAGCACAAGGAACATTCTTTAAGACTGATGATAGGCCACAAATCAAATTTCAATAAACTAAAAAAACTCAAAATCATATCAAATGCCTTTTCAGACCACAGTGGAATAAAACTAGAAATTAACCCCAAGAAGAATTTATAAAAAGAAACAAAAACATGGAAGCTAAGCAATCTGCTTCTGAATGATCCTTGGGTCAACAATTACATCAAGATGGAAATTTTTAAATTCCTCAAAATGACAAAAAACAAGTTATCAAAACTTCTGGGACACAGCCAAAGCTGTGCTCAGAAGAAACTTTATAGTATTTAATATCTACATTAATAAGACTGAACAATCACATATTAACAACCTGATGTCACAGTTCAAGGACGTAGAAAAACATGAACAAACCAAACCCAAAGTTAGCTGAAAAAATAATGAAGATCAGAGCAGAACTAAATGAAATTGAAATTTAAAAAGATACAAAGGATCAATGAAACAAAAAGTTAGTTACTTGAAAAGATAAAACTGATAGACCACTAGCTAGATTGATTAAGAAACAGAGAAAAGATTCAAATTAGTTCAATCAGAAATGAAAATGGAGACATTACAGCTGATATGACAGAAATAAAAATAATCATCTAAGATTATTATGAACACCTCTATGCAAACAAACTAGAAAATCTAGAGGAAATAGATCAATTCTTGGAAACTTACAACCCCCAACCTTGAATTAAGAAGTAGTAAAAACTCTGAACAGACCAATAATGAGTAGTTAGATTAAAGCAGTAATTAAAAGTCTCCCAACAAAAAAAAGTCTAGGACTCGACAGACTCACAGCTGAATTCTAACAGACTTTCGAAGAACTGGTACCAATTTTACTGAAGTTATCTCATAAGATTGAAGAGAAGGGAATGCTTCCTAACTCATTCTATGAAGCCAGTATCACCCTAATAGTAAAGGCAGGAAAAGACACAACAAAAAAATAAAACTATGGATCAATAACCCTGATGAACATAGATACAAAAATCCTTAACAAAATAAATTCAATAGCATATAAAAAATAATTCACTGTGATCAAGTGGGTTTTATCTCAGAGATGTAAGGATGGTTCAACATACACAAATCAATAAATGTGATTCACCACATAAACAGAATTAAAAACAAAAGTTACCAGGCACAGTGGCTCAAGCCTGTAATCCCAGCATTTTGGGAGGCCGAGGCAAGAGGACTGCCTGAACCCAGGGGTTCAAGACCAGCCTGGGCAACTTGGTGAGACCGCATCTCTACAATAAATCAAAAAATTAGCCAGGTGAGATGGCATGCACCTGTGGTTCCAGCTACTTGGAAGGCTGAGGTGGAAGGATTGCCTGAGCCCAGGACGAGGCTGTGGTGGCCAAGAGCATGACACTGTACTTCAGCCTGGATGACAGAGTGAGATTCCAACTCAAAAAATCCCCAAGAAACAAAAACAAATGGAGAAACATCCCATGCTTATGAATTAGAAAAATCAACATTGTTAAAAGGACCATATTAACCAAAGTAAACTATAGATTCAATGTAATCTCTATCAAACTACCAACATAATTTTTCACAGAATTAGAAAAAACAATTGTAAATTTCATATGGAACCAACAAAGGGCCAGAAAAGTCAAAGCAATCCTAAGCAAAAAGAACAAAGCTGGAGGCATCATATTAACAGATTTCAAATTATACTACAAGGCTGTAGTAACCAAAATGGCATGGTACTGGTACAAGAGCAGATGCATGAACATATGAAACAGAATCCAGGAATAAATCCAAATACCTACAACCAACTAATCTTTGACAAAGCAGACAAAAACATACACTGGGAAATGACATCTTATTCAACAAATGGTGCTGGGAAAATTGGAAAGCTACGTGAAGAAAATGAAACTTGATCCCTGTCTCTCTCCATACACAAAAATTAACTCAAGATAGATTAAAGATTAAAATGTCAGACCTGAAACCATAAAAATCCTAGAAGAAAACCTAGGAAAAAACTCTTCTGCACTTTGGCCTAGGCAAAGAATTTATGGCTAAAATACCAAAAACAAGTGCAAAAAAAAAAAAAACCCAAAATAAATAAGTGACTTAATTAACTTAATTAACTAAAAAGATTCTGCATAGAAAAATCAATAATAATCAACAGAGCAAATTGGCAACCTACAGAATGGGAGAAGATATTCTCAAACTATTCATCTGACAAAGGACTAATATCAGAATCTACAAAAAACTCAAAAAATCAGCAAAAAAATACATTAAAAAATGAGCAAACAACATGAACAGACATTTCTCAAAAAAAGATATACAGATGGCCAACAAACACTCAATTTAACTAATCATCAGGGAAATACAAATTAAAACCACAATGAGATATTATCTTATATCAGTCAGAATGGCTATTATCAAAATATCAAAAAACAATAGATGCTGGTGTGGATGCAGTGAAAAGGCAACACTTACACACTGGGAGTGCAAACAGTACAACCTTTATGGAAATTGCTATGGTGATTTCTCAAAGAACTAAAAGTACATCTACTATTTGATCCAGCAATCCCACTACTAGGTATCTACACAACCTGTGCTTGCATGTTTATTGCAGCACAATTTACAACTACAAAGATGTAGAATCAGCCTAAATGCCCATCAACCTATCTGTGGATAGTGAAAATATATATACTATGGAATATTATTCAGCCATCAAAAAGAATGAAGTAATGTCTTTTGCAGCAATTTGGATGGAATTGGGGAACATTATCCTAAGTGAACTAACACAGGAATAGGAAACCAAAGGCAGCATGTCCTCACATATAAGTGGGAGCTAAACTAAAGATCTGCAAAGGCATAGGGAATGGTATAACAGACACTGGAGATCCAGAAGGGAGAGGAAGGGAGGGAGTTGAGGGATGAAAAACCACCTGTTGGGTACAATATGCACAGGTGGGAATGGTTGATACACCTAGAGCCCAGACTTCCTCACCACCATACAATGCAACCATGTGACCAAAAATTGTTTGTATTCCCTAAATCTACTGAAATAAAGAAAAAAAAAGTAATACCCTCCCCCCAAAACAAAGAGGGGCTTGTGGGAACCCTCAACTTGACGTTGGTCATCAAAAGTCTGGAGGCCCAGACTTGTGACTGGTATCTGAAGAAAGATGAGTCCTGTGGGACTGAGTCCTCAACCTGTGGAATCTGATGCTATCCTTCAGACAGATAGTGTTATAATTGAATTGGAGGATACTCAGCTGGTGTCTACTGCAAAGCTTGTTTGGTACGTGGGGAAATCTCCCCCACATTTGGTCACAGAAGTCTTGTGTTGATTGTTGTGGTGTGAAGAGCAGAGGAAAAAAACAGTTTGAGTTTGTTTTTTCCACTCAGCAATCTACAACAATGTCCAGTAGAATAAATTAATGACTTTGCTATAACTAACGAATCCTGAAATATTCATCAAACTATTGAGAAGAAACATTTTCAAAGGTTCAGTGGTTAAATATACACCACACTGAGGCAACATTTGTTAGAATATTAGATGAGTATTTAAAATCTAAACACAAAAAGGTCCCAAAGTTAAAGTAATGACATGCCTTACTTCAATATTTCTTCTCGGCACTGCCTCTGTGTAGCAAAACAAGCTATGGCCCACATTTTTATTTCAACTCCAGTGTGGAATTGTTTCCCTCGCATGTCCCATACTCCATGGCTTGGTGTTGCTACTGTCCGATTCTACAGAAGGAGAAAAATAAATAACATAGCAAAAAGTACAAAAAGTGGACAATTTATTTATTTCTTTTTTCTTTTGAGTTGGAGTCTCATTCTGTTGCCCAGGCTGGAGTGCAGTGGCACGATCCCGGCCTCAACCTGCTGGGCTCAGGCAATCCTCCCGCCTCAGCCTTCCAAGTAGCTGGAACTACAGGCGTGTGTTACCACGCTCAGCTTATTTTTTGATTTATTGTAGCAACAAGGTCTCACCATGTTGCCCAGATTGGTCTCGAATCCGCAGGTTCAGGCAAAGTGCTGGGTCTTGGCCTCCCAACGTGCTGGGATTACAGGCTTGAGCCACCGCATTCGGCCAACAATTTATTTCAATGAACCAACAATAAGTACTTCAAATTGCTAAACTGATACATGTCTGATATTCTGCATGGAATAGGCTTTTCCAAATTAGTATTACTTACACTTTAATAAAGAAAAAAATTCTAAACTCAAGCAAAGACTCTTACCTTGAAACAAAAACATATTGTCGGAACAATAAAATACTTTCTAAATTCCAGTCCTTTCCACTTACCCGTCCTCCATATTGGAGCATAGGTGCTGGAAGTACACGTCCGGTTACATGGGCCATTTCATCCCGAACTTTAAATTGAAACTCTTGAACAAATGGATCTGTTTCATAATTTGCACTTCTTACCTAACAACAGAAAAAGTTTGTAGTTACTCTCAAAATTCCCCCAAAACCTTTTACTTTAAACATGAGAACCCTCATTTTTTTTTCTTTACTGTGTCAACAATGTTTTACAATAGGTCTAATCAGTGGTGCCCTATCTACAGAGCACAGAATCTTCACCTGGACCAGGGGTCATGAATAGACTGCAGAAAGACCGTGAACTTGGCTGGGCTTGGTGGCTCAGTCTGTAATCCCAGCAGTTTGGAAGGCCAAGGCGAGTTGACTACCTGAGCCCATGGGTTTGAGACCAGCCTGGGCAACTTGGCGAGACCTCGTCTTTACAATAAATACAAAATTAGCCAAGTGTGGTAGTGTATGCCTGTAGTTCCAGCTACTTGGAAAGCTGAGGTGGAAGGACTGTCGGAGCCCAGCAGGTTGACACTGGGGTGGTTGTGAGTGTGCCACTGCACTACTACAGCCTGGGCGATAGAGTGAGACTCCAACTCAAAAAAGAAGAAAAGAAAAAAAAAAAGAAAGTCTGTGAACTCCTGATTACAAAATTTAGAAGTATGTATTAGGCTGAATAATAAGAAATTTAAACTATTTATGACTCATGAAAATAATAATTTTTTTTTTTGAGTGTGAGTCTCACTCCATTGTCCTGGCTGGATTGCAGTGGCATGCTCATGGTCACCGCAGCCTCGACCTCCTGGGCTCAGCCGATCCTTCCACCTCAGCCTTTTAAAAGTAGCTGAAACTATAGGCATGTACCACCACACCGGCTACTTTTTTGATTTATGGTAAAGATGAGGTCTCGTCAAGTTGCCCAGGCTGGTCTCGAACCTGTGGGCTCAGGCAATCCTCTCACCACGGCCTCCCAAAGTGCTGGGATTATAGGCATGAGCCACCACACCTGGCTGACAATGATAATTAAAAAAAATTTTTTTTAAAAGAGATGAGGTCTTGCTATGTTGCCCAGGCTGACCTTGAACTCCTGGACTCAAGCAATCCTCCCATTGTGGCCTCCTAGGTAGCTGGGAGTACAGGTATGTACCATCGTGCCTAGTTGAAAAGTGATAATTTTATATTGAATCTAATATGTTTTGGGATGAAGAAATATCTCACTTGAGAACCTCTGATTATAGAGGATCCAGACACATATTATTAAAATTGATTTTATGTAGAGTTTGACAGAAAATATAAAATTCTAAGGATTTTTTTACTTAATTACTTGATTTGTAATCTACATAAAATTTATTTCAGTATTTTCAGATAAATGTCATAGTATATAATTTATTTAATGGAATACACTTGAGACAGATAAGAAAAGCAGTATGAGTTACCAGTTGTAACTCTTACATAATATTTCCATATCTACAAAGATAAAATATTTATTGCAATTCAGTGTTGAATCTCACTGTAATTCATGTTTATAGCATGCTATAGTAACTGTTTTCAAGACATATTTACTTGCTTATAGCGTGAAGGTCAAATGAGGTTAAGAAAAGGCGGCAGGTTTCAAGTCTTAGAGTAAAAATACATTAAAAAAATACTACATAATCTAAATATATAAACAGAGTCTCCTTACAAAGAGAAGGAAAAGTCATTTTCTAAATTAGACACGAACGCATCTTTTTCTTCAAGCTTAATTATCATTCCTTTTTGGTGTATTTTAGTGTATCTGCACAGTAAGTTTATGATGAATAATAAATAATTAGTATTTACCAAGACTTGCTGCATGGCGTGCTTGGTGCTAAGTGCTTAATAATAAATTTTCACAACTATCTTGTAACTATAAAAGTAGTTCTTTCATAATCTGTATTCCACAGAGGATAAAACTTAGTGAAATTAAGTGACTTGCCTGAAACCACATAGCTAAGCAAGTGACACAGACTGACTCTGAATCCATGTATGTTCTGATTCTACAGCTTCTACTCTTAATCATTGTACTTCCAGATTCTATAAATATAATAATAATAACAATAAATACAATAATAGTGACAGTAAGTAGGTAAGTAAGCAGAAAAGATAGATTTTGAAATCACGGTTGTTGGACTCTCAAGCTTGTTAACCACTATATAATGTTATCTTTCTGAACAGTTAGGCGGTAATAAATGAGTCAGAATGGTTAGTTATTAAGACTTTGGAGAGACAGCGAGAGGTGTTAGTCTCTTGAAGATTTTGGGAAAGTGTTAAAAATCTTACTATAGAAGAAACAGAAAAATCTAGGATGAGAATCAGCCTGTATTTTACTAATTAAATATCATGTGATAATTCTCATTAACTTTTTACAAAACTTTTTAAGGAAAAAAGGTATTTTTTTCTGTAATTGGCCTACAAAATGAAAGAACTAGCTATGCAAAGCCTTTCCAATGATCCGTAAAATTGCTTCTGAAAGTGTTATTACATTTTGGGGGAAATATTCGTATTTCCAGATTGTATTCTCTTTGCTTGGGCAGTTAAAATGGTATCCAAAAAGAGAGTGAGATAAAATTTAGCCACCCTTTAATTTTTAATTTTGTCTTATTCCATCAGCTTTATAAAGTGGTCTTGGTAACTCTTCCCTCCCCCTCACTTAGAAAAATGAGACAGCATAGAAACCCTACATGGTTGAAGCTGTCTTCTATGCCTTTATTCAGACTGTACAGTTGTCAGTCTGACACTGGGGGCTAAGCAATCCTAGATTGAGTGTTAAGAGTTTCAGTATTGCTAGTCCATAATCCCTTAACTTTCTCTTCTATCTCTCCCCTCTTTTAGGTGGAGGTTCTAGTTTACTAAATCGAAACATAAGTTTTGAGAGTCTGTTCCCTGGATCCAATGAAAGAGCTCAGGGTTAAGAAGGACCTAACCCTTCTCCTATAACCCACTATGGTTTACTCCTAGAACACCATTAGATTATTTCCATGATCTCTTTCAATTCTGACAGTCCATGAAATGATAACAAGGTATGAGCTGACAAGCATCTAGTTCCTTATTTTTTTTTATTTTTTTAGAGATAGGGTCTTCCACTGTCACTCCACTGGAGTGTAGTGGTATAATCTTAGCTCACTGTAACCTTGAATTCCTGGGTTGAGGCGATCCTCCAGCCTCAGATTGCTGAGTAGCTAGGACTACAGGTCCATGGACTTACACTCAGCTAATTAAAAAAATTTTTTATAGAGCTGGGGTCTTGCTTTGTTGTCCAGGCTGGTCTCAAACTTTGGGTCTCAAGCCATCTTCCCACCTTGGCCTCCCAAAGCACTGGAATTACAGGCATGGGCCACCAGGTCCGGCCTAGGACAACTCTTTAATGGTTCACCTTAATATGTTTCAAATTTCCATTTTGGGGGAGAGTACTAACCAATCTGCTAATTTCCTCTTGCCTATCTGGTGCAGATCTTGCTGTTGCCTTGATCATAGTGGAAGTCTGATTGTCCGTTAGCTTCTTGATACATCGTTGCCCTGCAACAATATTACAGACCTATAAATAGAAAAAAGTTTTTTACTAGATGTCTTTTTTTAGCTCTTACTTAGTGCCAATTGAAAATAAAATTTTAAAATCTACTTCATTAAACCACTTCTTTTTAATATGTTAAGTAAAAAAGTAGTAAATAAAAATGCTTTTCAGTATGATTATACTTAAGTAGTATGTTCATAAGATAAAAAGCATTCAGTATGCCAAAATGCTAACAATGGTTATATCAGAATGGTAAGAATATGGATGAATTTGTCTTACATTATTTCATTACAGACAATTTATAATAAGTTAAAAAACAGTTCAAATTCCAAAATAAATGTCGACTATGAGGTAAGTTATAGTCAAAAAGACCCCTTCAGAATGATGAACAAGAGGATATTAATTAACAGTATGAAGGCATTACTTCTAGTGGCAGGTAGGTATGTTTCTGCTCCTGCCCCACTTGCAGACAGGGAAGGTGGGGGTACTTCAGCTGAAGAGTATACTTTTCTCTGAAATACTGCGCTACTGTTCTTTCCACAGTTTGGCCATTTTCTAACTGCAAAGGAAAGCTGAGAAAAAAAGTACACATGAACAACTCTTATCAACATTATGAGCCAGAGAAACTCCCAACCCACTACCTAGAGCAAGCTGCCTTGTATCATCACTACTCTGACAAACACCAGCTTTTCTTACGTTTGATGACTGGCAGGCCTTCTTGTTACATTACAAACACGGTATTTCCGTCTCATTGTTCCACAATGAGTCACTTCAACCTTCAAACCTGTTTCCAATAAAAAAGATGGAGGTTACAGAACTGTCACATGTAAAATATTTATACTTATAAAGCCTGTTCACTATTATAAAAACTCAATTCCGAACAGACAGAAAATTTATGATACAGGCAATGTGATATGAACACAGGAATTTATATGTAACATTACAAATAATGGTTACAATCATGATAAACCTAATACTAAACACCTTTTCTATTCCCCATCAAGCTCTACACATTAAAAAATTTTCAAAGCCCATATATCGAGGGATAAAATTTTCTATTAATAAAAAACCCTGTTTATAAAAATTTAGGTATTTATGCTGAGAGGGAAAGAGGAATGAAAGAGGAGTTGAAGTCACTCTCAAGATATTCTATAACCTTCAAAGTATGTGATGTTTAACTAGCCCAGTCATCACATACTGATGAAGATCAAAATTTCACAAAGCTCAAGAAGGAAGCCTTTCAAGATTAATAAGGCAGGAGAAAAAAAAATGCTAGGCACTTTTAACAGAAGTGGAGTGACAATTTTATTTAAGTATAATATAGTAACTCAGCTCTTTTATAACATTGACTGTTGGAAATCAAATGTAACCAAAATAATTCCTAAAATAGGTAATCCCTATCCTCTAATGGGGTGATTGACCCCTTTCAGAATGTGATGTAAGCAACAAACTCTCAAAAAAATGCATATGAACATAATATAGCACATGATTTTAGGAGTTCCTGGATCGCTACAGTCTATTTGTGGAACTTAGGGGTTCAAGGATTCCAGGCTGTTCTGGAAAGTGAATAAGTGGGTTTTAAATCATTGGTTGAAATTCTTTGGAATGGATTTTCTTAAGCAGTGTTGTCAAATAAAGTTTTCTGAGATAACAGTTCTACATCTGTGCTAATATGGTAATTACTAGTAACATGTTATCAAGCACATGAAATGTAGTTAGTGTACTTGAAAAACTGAAGTTTTATTTTATCAAATTTTAATTAATTTAAATTTAAATAGCTACATGTGGCTAGTGACTACTGTACTGATCAGTAGTCTAGGAGCTACCTAGAGAAGAGTTAATAGATACACAGTGGGTACTGGTCACACAGAGAGCACCTCCAATTTCTCAAGTTTAGCCTATGCTCCAAATGATAAAAAGCCAAAAAGTAATAGATGGAAGACAACTTTTAGTTTCCTGACAGGTTATTACTTTTTGTAATAATTCCATTTTATGTTTATGATTCCTATAAGTGCAGTGGTTTTTATCCAGAGGCAATTTTGGCTTCCCAAAGGACATTTGGTAATGTCTGGAGACATTTTTTTTTAATTGAGTTAGAGTCTCACTCTGTCACCCAGGCTGGAGTGCAGTAGCATGGTCACGGTCACCGCAGACTCAACCTGCTAGGCTTAGGCGATCCTTCCGACTCTGCCTTCCAAGTAGCTGGAACTACAGGCATGCACCACCATGCTCGACTAATCTTTTAATTTATTGTAGAGATGAGGTCTCACCAAGTTGCCCAGGCTGGTCTCGAACCCACAGACTCAGGCAATTCACTCACCTTGGCCTCCCAAAGTGCTGGGATTACAGGCTGAGCCACCGAGCTTGCCCTGGAGACATTTTTGATTGTTGTAACTGGAGGGGTGCTATTTGGCATGTACTGGGTAGAGGCCAGGGATACTCTGAGATATCTTATAATGCACAGAACAGCACTACTCCCGTCCCAACAAAGAATTATTCTGCCCACAATGCCAACAGTGCCAAGGTTGAGAAATCCTGCTACAGTAAAATTTATTTTCTTATCTAATTGCTAAGTTTGATTAGATAAGAAAACTAGTACCAAACACAAAGTTCACTCATAGTAAATGATATTTTCTTTTGACATATCAGTGCAAATTAAGATGTTAAATGGACATAGTATCCCTGTACCAGATGGGTATAGGTTTGTTTTTCTTGAGAAGCACTCCTCATTGAATCAATGGGAAGTTTTTATTATAGCTTTATAAAACTAAAATTTTAGATTAATTAGAGAATTTACTATGCCTTTATATTATAATGGAGACTAGAAAATAAAATACTATCAAAAGAAGTAAGAAAATGGCAACAAAGTGAGGTAATTAAGATGTAAAAATATCATATTTAGGGGAAACACAATAGAAAAATCTAAAACAAATTTCTGTTATTTGCACCACTTAGCAATTTGTTTTCAAGTTCTCCCCTTGAATTAAAAAACTATTAATAAGGTTTTACAAGCTTACAAAATAAGTTGCTTTACCAAAAATAACCCGGTACTTTTATATACTTATGGTAGTTTACCATACATCTCCCCCAATATTTCTGCTGTTTAACTGCCACAAATTATTAGAAAAAGAAATCACCCCAAAGTTATGATTAAATATGAATAAAAACATTCAACTGGGATAAAATTAATATACTAAGAAAATCTATTCATTGTAGCATACTTTGTATCAATATTTAACAGCTACCATCAAATTCTTCAAGATGGCTAAAAATTAAGCCCATATATACAGCACAAAACACAAGTCTCCGATTCTCTTGAATTACTATAGTAGGAATACATGATGTACTTTAAAATGCCTTTCTTTTTCTAAAGCCTTCTTTACTTGGAATGAAGAAAAAAATAATCAGTCTATCAATTAGCTATAACCCATATTTTTCTACTCCTAAGATCATAAGTACCTAAGAATTAGACCAAAATGCAGGGGCTAGCAAAAAGTTGAAATTTTAAAAAGTAGACTAGATAATTCTCTGCCCAGGTCCCTCCCCAAACCCTCCATCCAACCAAAATAAATTTTTGGCTTTAATAAACATTTAACCTATAAACTTGGCTTTACCTTCACTATAACATCAACTTTATAATGCTTTCTAGTCATTTTTTCAGTCATTTCTTTGGGCCCCTGAGCAGTTGAAGTTAAGATCGAGTCCATGCTCTTCGGGCAGCAGCTGAATCCTTGTTCTGTACATCTTGTATTTTCTGTGATAGAGTGGTGATATGAGTTGATTGCATAGTTACCGCAAAGTAATGTAAGTGACTTCATGATATCAGAGGTGGTAACTAAGCAGCAACTCCACTGGAAACCATGGCATTTAGATGATCACATATTAATGTAGGTAATGCACTAACCTTCTGACAATGCTAGCTGTGCAGTTAATACAGATTATGAAAGGACAATGGTATGGTTGAAAAACAGTTATATTTAATAGTGTCTTATTTTGGCACTTAAATAACTTGAGATAAATGAATGCTTATTTTCAAAGCAGGAAGGCTCCTCCTTTTAATTTTTTATTACAATGACCATCTCTCTCCTGGTTACTGAATGGCAAAGAATGAATGAATACTGGAGCAAGCAGGATGTATTCAGCTACTCTAATTGATTTGGGGAACTGAAAAATGTTCAGTGAACAAACTTGAATGCTTCATTCAAACCACAAGCTGAAAATTATCTGCAACAAATAGGTAAAATCTTAAGATAAAAACAACATAAATATTTCTGGCTATTTAAGATCTAACACTTAAATAGAATTCTTACTACTCATTCTGATTAGAGAGCATCTAATTTCTCTTCATGTCTACATAATAAAGTAAATACAGTGGAGTCACATCTTACATGAGGATTAGTTTCTAAAGTCATAAATAAGCCAAAACTTGTACATAACCAAAATTACTCTAAAACATCCCTTAAATTGTTGATAAAGTACAGTATATGTATGTGAGTTTGAACATAACTGCATAGTTATAATTAAATGATTATAGAAATGTACATATGTGTACATATAAATGTAAATATATATAAAATATAAATTTTAGAGTATTAAAATATTATTATTAATGTTCATTTTATAATTGAACATTATTTTTGGGAGACTATATAGAGATGAATTTATGAGTTAAATGTACATATGATGCAACACCATAGTACAAATTTTAGCTACTAAGTAAAATAGTCAAGATCAATAATCAACTCTATAGCATGCATTAAATAAGTAAATTACAACTCCAGAACAACACATGAAACAGGCCAGCCTCATACTTATAAATTTTCAAATAAATAAAACAAATAAGCCTACTATCATTGTAGGAAAATAAGGAAGCCATTATATTAGACTTAGTTCAAAAAGTGATTCTGGTTCTAAACTAACAAATATTTTTGGAATAAGTCTTTTACTTTTAACAGTATTATTAAAGCATTTTCCCATGAGATACTCTTCTCCCTTTAGCTAGTATGGGAAGATATTAAAAAATTAACACATATTGATATTAATTCCATTAATTGGCATTTCTTTCATTCAAACACTACTTAACTAAAATGGTATAGTAATGAATTTAATGTAACATTTTATAATCAATCTTTATTTTTACTGGTGATGTTACATGAATAGATTTTAATTATTTAAAAATTTTAATAAAAGGTTGTTATACTCATGCATTTCATAGTTGTTGTTCTAAAGGCTAATTAATTCACCTTTTATCTCTTTGGTAAATTTTACCCGATGAGAATCAGTCAGAGGTCTTGGTTGCTCATCAATATTATGAATGTCAAGAACTTCACACATGAACTGAATTACAGGTTGTGCTTTGTAGAAGGCAGTGGCAGAAACTAAGAAGAAAAACACAAATAATACAAATTAATGTTTCCCTAAAAATCCAAAAACTTCATCAAAGGCTCCATGATAATTATCTACAGAGTTTAAATGATCCCTTATGTACATTTTTTGTGCATATATATATAAATTTCCAAAATTAAGCAGTTTCCATGAGACCTCTGAGGCACAAGAACAGAAAGGCCAAATACTACAGTTTTTATAATCTATCTCTTTTGTCCTGGGTAAATGAATCATTCCTTTCTCTTACTATGTGTATAGAGAAGTGTTCTAGGTAGGAGACAAGGCTTGTAGGAGACAAAGAAGGCCAGAGTCCCTTGGCAGATGAGAAGGCTAGGTATTCGTGTGTGTGTGTGTGTGTGTGTGTGTGTGTGTGTGTGTGTGTGTGTGTGTGTGTGTGTGTAAGAAACAGGGTCCTGCTGTGTAGTCCAGATGAAGAAGGCCAGAGTCCCTTGGCAGATGAGAAGGCTAGGTATTCGTGTGTGTGTGTGTGTAAGAAACAGGGTCCTGTTGTGTAGTCCAGATGAGAAGGCTAGGTATTCGTGTGTGTGTGTGTGTGTGTGTGTGTGTGTGTGTGTGTGTAAGAAACAGGGTCCTGTTGTGTAGTCCAGATTAGAGTCCGGTGGTGAGATCACAGTTCACTGCAGCTTTGAATTCCCAGTCTCATGTGATCATCCTGCCTCAGCCTGACTGCTGGGATCATGGGCATGCACTGCCACACCCCACTAATTTCTTTTTATTTTTTTCTTTTTAAAAACAGGGTCACACTATGTTGCCCAGATTGATCCTGGACTCCTGGGCTCAAGTGAAACTCCTGCCTTAGGCACCCAAGTAGCTGGGATTACAAGCGTACGCCACTGTGCCCAGTTAAGGTTAAGTATTATTTTGTTAAACAAGGCTTTTTGTTTTTTAAAGATTAGAAAAAATAGTTTATTTAGAAAGTAAATGAGAGAGAGAGAAAGAGAGAGTGATTCACCTCCCCAAGGTAGGAAAGGGGTCAAAGTTCAGGAAACAAGGCAGCAGTCATAGCTCAAAGAGCACATGGTCACACCAGTCTCTAGTAAAGCTATGGCCTAAACAAGGCTTTCTATGCCACCCCAGACTGTTTATTCTGGTAAGAGAATTTCCTGTATTATAATGATTTGAGGAGACAGTGGTATTAAATGTTGTTGATGCTAATTCAAGCTACAGATAGAAATATCAAGGGGTACCTGGCCCAATATTACTGAGCTACAGTTTGTAGTTTTAAATTTTATTTATTTACTTGTTTGTTTATTGCTGGAGTCTCACTCTGTAACCCAGGCTGGAATGCAGTAGCATGAACATGGCTCACTGAAGCCTCCACCTCCAGCTTTTATATATATATATATATATATATATATATATATATATATATATATTTTTTTTTTTTTTTTTTTTGAGTTGGAGTCTCACTCTGTTGCCCAGACTGGAGCTCAGTGGCTGCTTCTGGCCACCGCAGCCTCGACCTGCTGGGCTCTGGCGATCCTTCTGCCTCAGCCTTCCAAGTAGCTGGAATTACAGGCATGTGCTACCACGCCCGGCTGATTTTTTGATTTATTGTAGAGATGAGGTCTCGCTGCCCAGGCGGGTCTCGAACCCGCGGGCTCAGGCAATCCACTCACCTCAGCCTCCCAAAGGCGCGGGATTACAGGCTGAGCCACCGAGCCCGGCTTCCAGCTATATTTTGATTTTTTTATAGAAAAGAGGTCTCACTATGTTGCGTGGGCTGGTCGTGAACTCCTGAACTCAAGCAATCCTCCAGCCTCAGCCTTCTAAAGTGTTGGGATTGCAGGTATGATCCACCATACCTAGCCAAGTTGGTGGCATTTTAAACAAGCAACTAGCATGATTTCTTAACCTTAGGTTTTGGAACTAGAAGAGCTTTACCAATGGTTAGTAGATCACCATCACTCATTTTTTAAACTTATTGATGGTTATTACGTTATAAAGGCACTGGGGATACGTTGAAAAGTATTAACATTAAGCAATAAGCTACAGGCTATCATGTTATTTTTCTACTCAAAAAAACATACCCACTGTCTTTTGAGTGAAGTGTAAATTTTTTTTTTTTGAGTCAGAGTCTCACTTTGTTGCCCAGGCTGGAGTGCAGTGGCACGCTCACGGTCACCTCAGCCTTGACATGCTGGGCTCAGGCGATCCTTCCACCTCAGCCTTCCAAGGAGCTGGAACCACAGGCATGTATCACCACCTGGCTAATTTTTTGATTTACTGTAGACATGAGGTCTCACCAAGTAGCCCAGGCTGTTCTTGAACCCATGGGCTCAGGCAATCCTCTCACCTTGGCCTCCCAAAATGCTGAGATTATAGGTGTGACCCACCGTGCCTGGCCAAGTGAAGTGTAAACTTTTAATGTGGTGCTCTTTCTCTTGCTCTCCTTGGTTAGGATTAAATATCCTCCATAAAATGTCCCTCACCTTGGCCGAGCTTGGTGGCTCAGCCTATAATCCCAGAACTTTGGGAGGCCGAGGCGAGTGGACTGCCTGAGCCCATGGGTTCAAGACCCACCCAGGCAACTTGGCAAGACCTCGTCTCTACAATAAATAAATAAAAAAATTAGCTGGACGTGGTAGCGTGTGCCTGTAGTTCCGGATACTTGGAAGGCTGAGGTGGAAGGATCACTGGAGCACAGCAGGTCGAGGTTGTGGTGGCTGGGAGTGTGCCATTGCACTCCACTCTGGGTGACAGACTAAGACTCCAACTCAAAAAACAAAACAAAAACAAAAATGTCCCTCACCTCTGCAAGGATATTTATTAAGGCTTTAACAGTAGTTACCGCAGAATACATGTGGGTGATGAGATTATGTGAGTATTTTTAAGATTTTTTTATTTTTAAACTTAAATTTTTATAGCAAGCACATATTGCTTTCTCCTCTTTATTGCAGAAATAATATATGAATAAAGTTTCATCATAAAAACATCAAATACAGACATATACAGAGTAAAGACTGTCTCCCATCCGAACCTTCCCCCTTTCAATGTACCTCTAAGAATTAGCAATTGTTAGTAGTTAGGTGTGTATACATGCTCTGCTTTTACTATATTCTTACGTAGATAAAAAGGCAGGTATAATTTTTTAAAGATGAGATCAGATAACAAATGTTCTAAAACTTATCATTATTTTAAAAATTAACAACATAGCTTAGAGATCTTTCAGATCAGTATACTTTTTTGTGGCTACATGTTACTCCATAGCATGAGTACATAAGTAAATATGTACTCCCTTCCTCTCCAAACAAAAAAGAACACAAATGGTAAAATATTAGAAACACTATTCTGGACTTTTTTTTTCTTACACAGAGCTAATTTAGAGCCCTGCTATGCTGCCCAGATCAGTCTTGAGTTTCTGGCCACAAGTGATCCTTCTGCCTCAACCTCCTACAGTGTTAGAATTACATGATTCTAACACTATGCCCGGCCCATCTTAGAGATAAATCTGTATGGAACTATATCATTCTTTTTCACAGTTGCAGGATATTTCATATTATGAATGTCCCTAATCCCTAATGGATAGCTATGTTGTTGCTGTTGATTCGGGATCTCACTCTGTTGCCCAGGCTAGAGTGCAGTGGCACAACCACGGCTCCCCACATACCTGCTGGGCTCAGGTGATCCTTTTGCCTCAGTCACTCAGGTAGTTGGGACTACAGGCATGTGCCACCATACCCAACTAATTTAATTTTTATTTTTTGTAGAGAAAACGTATCGCTGTTGCCAAGGCTAGTCTCAAACTCCTGGGCTCAAGTGATTCTCGTGTCTTGGCCTCCCAGAGTGCTGGGATTACAGGTGTGAGTTACTGTACCCAGACATTTATGCTGTTTTATTTTTTTACTGTTACAAACAATATTCCAATGAACATCTATGTCTGTCTGTCTGTCTGTCTATCTACCTATCTAGCTTTTTGGGTACACATTCATGACTACTTCTTAGTACTTTCCCAGTAATTCTGGGAAAGAATTAAGAGAAATCAATACTCATTGCTAACTTTCTTCCATTCAAATAAACTTTAGAAACACTTCCAGTTTCTAACTGATTTAAAAAGAGAAAGAGACTGGTAAGACTGTAATAGTATTCTGGATATCTTATTCAAAACCACAGTAGTTTTAAAAATGTGTACAGTGTGTTCTTCTATTGAAAAATATAAGAATTTATTGTTGTGCATAAAAAGAAAGGCTGGCAGGATACATACCAAATTTAAGTTATATGCTCATATTATTTAAGTTCTTAAGCACATATTGATCTGGCTTAAACAAAATTTATCTTTTATTTTTATTTATTTATTTATTTTTGAGTTGGAGTCTCACTCTGTCACCCAAGTTGGAGTGCAGTGGCATACTCACGGCCATACCAGCATTGACCTGCTGGGCTCTGGCGATCCTTCCGCCTCAGCCTTCCAAGTAGCTGGAATTACAGGCACACACTACCATGCCTGGTTAACTTTTTTTTTATTGTAGAGATGAGGTCTCGCCAAGTTGCCTGGGCTGGTCTTGAACCCGTGGGCTCAGGCAATCCATTTGCCTTGGCCTCCCAAAGTGCTGAGATTACAGGCTGGGACACCGAGCCCGGTCACAAAATTTATTTTTAAAGAGATGGGGGTCTTGCTCTGTCACTCAGGCTGGAATGCAGTGGTGAGAGCATAGCATACTACAGCCTTGAATTCCTGGGCTCAAGTGATTCTCCTGCTTCAGCCTCCCGAGTAGCTAGGACTATAGGTATATACCACCATGCTCAGCTATATTTTAAAATTTTTTTGTAGAGAAGGGGGTCTTGCTATGATGCCCAGGCTAGTCTTGAACTCCTAGCCTCAAATGATCCTCCTTGCTTCAGTCTCTCAAAGTATTGGGATTACAGGTGGGAGCAACTACACCCAGCTTAGATCTCAATTAATTTTCAAGAAGTGGAGAATGGAAAACAAATATATGGTGAATAATGTGATCATTTTGAATTTCCTTTCATC